CCTGCGATATTATCAAATTAGGACGTTACTTTCTATCTTTACGGTAGATAATAGTGATATCAGAAAGAAAGTTATATATATGATATGTTTCAAGGTCTTTAGCAAATTATTTTTTGTGTAGGGCTACACAATCTCTTTACTTCACACTGTAGTCGCTAGAAGCTATCCTCTCGTAATTAGCTATCAGATCGTCATTCAACTCGCACCTATATCACATAATTATCATTTATTTCAAAAAATCGTACACATTGTATTCGCCTATTGTTCTCGATAATCAGCCAGCCAGCAGCAGAATACGAGTTCCAATTCCAATGAATTTAAAAATGATACGCTTGGTATAACGATGATAAAGTAGAGGGGAAAATGTGTTTCAGAAAGGATTATCCTCCCTGCAAAGTGCGCGTAGCTCAGGCTCTATCCGCTGATGAGCCTTATCATGCTCTCCATCATACAAACAATACAGCTTGCTGATGAGATACGCTACAGCGACAATGTTGCAAAAGGTTGTACATTGACCGTAATTATATTTCTAATAATCATAAGTACAAATTGTAAATTTATCGTTAAAAACAGAAAGATCCCAAACGCAGAAATTCTTTTTTTTGCATTAAGATATGGCCCTGACCTTAAAACAATTTTTGAAAAAAACCATATCACTCGAAGTACGCAGTACCCGTACCTACTTCAGTCAATGTAATACATACAAAATTACAAACCGTTCACGGATTGTCGCCGCAGGCTTTCTCAACACAAAACAACATTTTCCTTGGAAAGCTACGGAACACTTCTTATCTGGCTGCTTTTGTCAAGGGGGTTTCAGTTATTTATATTATTGCCAAACAAAAATTAAGAGAAATTGTTTTGCTTCTGAAAAGATGATCTGGGGCGTTTAAGATCTTTGTGCTGGTTGTGGCGAATTATATTTTTAGAATCTTGTTGCACGTATTATTCTTGAAACTAGATTGAAACTTAAATTGAGAGAAGAGTTGCTGATGACATAGTGCCGTACAAAATTCTTCCAGTTCTTATTTTAACCTACAAAATCGTTTTTTCTTAAGTTTTTTCTACCTTGTAGAAATTATTTTGCGTTCCTTTTCTTCTTTATTGCTTTACCTAGAAGAAGTATCCACCTACACAAACACGGATGTGCCTATGTTTATCTGCTTCGTGTCGACTTTAATCGATTTAGAGAAGCCACACAAAGCGAATAAGTCGGTTTCCGCTGACCCTAAACTATGCTGAAAGTCAAATATCATTTACAATATCCCTTCATACTGTAGGATTTGTAGGTAATAACGAATCTTAGTCCTACTAGAGCAAAATTATGTGACATAGCTTTCCAAAATTTAACAGATGGAAAAGTTACGACTAATTTTGGAAACTTCACCTCCAAATAGATCTTAGACAACTCAGTTTCGTCTAATTTCCAACCTAACTTTCTTCTCCAAAGGTGTTAGCAACCAGCGTGGAGCCAATTTCACCTAATTACTTACCTGAAAGCACTAACAGAGGTGTTTTAGTCCCGGTTCATCACATACAGGGCCAAAAGGGACAGCTTTCCAAATACCTTTCCTGAGATAAATTCCTGTGGAAAGTTGTTCAGTTTTATGGTCTGATTGTACCCTATCAATATTCGGAGAGCTATCCCTTAACACCCCTTTTAAGAAACGAGATTCGTCACAGAGCTAATAATTTATCTGGTTTGTCATACGCACCTAAAGGCTTCCAAAGTACAAACAAATAAATCCGCCAATATTAAAAGTGTGTGTGACGAACCGGCACTTCAAAAGTCAATAATAATTTTACTATGTTAGTGCTCTTTCTAATCTCGGGTCTACAAGGGCCCAGTAATTTTTCACAAGTATGGGGCCAAAGCGAGTTTCGTTACCGAAACTCTCCGTCTACACCACATATATTTCACTCAGAGCCAGCCAGCACCCGCCTGATGCAAAGACTATTGCGGGTGAGAGTAGGTAGGATTACTATTATTGAATGTGATGAAATAAACAAAATGTGACGAAATGGGTCTGTGGCAAATCGGGACTGAGACTAACAAAGGTGAATGAATGGATGAACTAAACCAGACCGAAGACCGGACAACAAAAATAAACTCTGAATGAACTTTACCCGGTTCTGGCTTGTGTCCGGTGTGAATAAGGTCCCGACTGTAAATAACTGGATCTAGATTAGCACTACTTACTAAAAAGTTTCAAAGGTTCAATGAGAAGTGTCAACGGGTCAAAATTTTGCAAAAAATCTAATCTCCCGTGCTTTCTTATTACTTAAGTTCTTATTTCATCAAAATCCGTCTAGTAAATCCGAAGTTATTGAAGTTTAAAAGTCAGCCACACTTTTAAAAGTTGTATTTACTCCGAAGTGGCACTCTATTTTTTAATTCTAAGAGATGGCATTCATAGAGACATACTTGCCAGTGTCAGTTAAACTTATGCGTTTATTGAGACACTATAATATCTGCATACTTCATAGGCAGTATTGGAAAATAGTTATTAAATTGGCCTGCAAATATAAAGTTCGCATGGTTGTTTGTCAACATGCAAAAAGCTACTTTATTTATAACAGACAAAAAACGGAGAAAAAAGCGACAAAAATCTTCCCTACCCTATTAATCGCGAATATTTTATTATGTAGGTATGTTCACCGATTACTTAGACACACCTGGATCATTTTTTGTATTAACATACATACATACATCACGCCTATATCCCTTACGGGGTAGGCAGAGCGTAAACGGCTGTAAAAAACGGTCGTTTACCTTTCTTTACACCATGTCTGACAAAAGTTTGAGAGTCATTCAGCAGACTGTGTATCACCACTGTGTTTTTTTTGGAAATATATTTTTATGTTTGAAAGGATGCTCTGTCCAGGTGGTCCCATAGTCAACAGGTCAGGCTCTGATGGAAGGATACTTGAGAATGAGGCCAGCTATTAAAAAAAATAAAGTCAAGCAGTTAGTGTTATCGTCGATAAATAGCGCTGATGCACTTTCGCAGCAGGACAAAATCCTCATTCACTGCTGCGCAGAGTCGTACAGTAGAAACCTGAGATAGAAACCGTTTAGTGCCTCCGCTGCGTCAGGCTGAATATCGCGCGCACCGGTCCACGTGCAAAATTCACTTTAATCAAAGCGGTACAGATGATGTAAGTGAACATCGCATAAGTGCCCGCATTGCGCATACAATACAATACGCGCCACGCAGCGAAGGCACTAAGAAAAAGTTTAACAAACCACAAAACACAACTAAAAGAAATGACGTTTGACAGTTGTCAAATGAATTTTAAATTACCTACAGACTACTCTACTACTAGAACGCTAACTTTTTGTTATCGACCTCGCCTTTGCCTCACCTCACGTGCGTGCACAGGCCTATTTTTTCACGCGTTCTGTTATTATTGCTCTGTAGTCGTGCAAAACGATAGTCAGATTTTTCTATCTGACGCGAATGAAAAGGACTTCTGAATGTTACGCGACAAAAAAGTCGCCGATACGCTCATAGATTCTCGAAGCTACCTAGCTGAGAAATGGTTATTTTGTTTCTTGTGCAAGTGAATCAGCGCCATCTATCGACGATTATACTAACTACTAAGTACTTGACTTTATTATTTTAATAGCTGTCAAAAAAGGCCTCATTCAATAAACTGTTCATATTTTGCGATACATTTGAAGCATACTCGTGTTTTGTTTACCTACACGACTGCCTGCCAAACATCTGCAAAAATGACCACCAAAAATGAGGTTGCTTTTATAGGTTACTAGCGGCCCGTTAGCGATTTCACCCGCTACAACTCATTTTCCCGCGAGAAAAAGGCATTTTTCTGGCATATGTTATACATATAAACCTACCTATTCACTCTATCTATGACGAGAAACCTCATTAAAATCCTTTGCGTGGTTTAAGACGACTTAGCGAAATCCACGACAGACATACAAAGAAACGCAAAAAGCAACTTCATTTTACACCATGTATTGATGTATTTCAGCCGAAGCATATCCATAGTTTTCAGATAAATATCTTTTGACCATAAAACTGTCTACTTTTGGTAGAATATCTATTTGAATCCTCTTTTTCGTATATTTCTTCCATTTTATACTAATAAATATCAGAAATCACAGACTGAACAAAACTCCGGTAAAGAAAACAGGTCAAACTCGCTTTTCTTTTTTGTTGGCCAGTAGCTACGTTTTAATACTCCATGGTCCCAATAAATACATAAATTCACCTGACTCTGGCAAATATGTCTTAACAAATGCCATACAATACACTGTATAGAACTTAAAAACGTCGTGCCACTTCTGAATAAAATCAAATTCTGAAAGTGTAGCTGATTTTTAAAATTCAATAACTTCGGGAAAACTGGAAGGATTTTGATGAAATAAAAACTAAAGTAATAAGAAAACACGGGAGAATAGCTTGTAATATATTAAAGTGCAAAATTTTGACCTATTGACACTTCTCATTATACTGCATGTTAGCAACAGCCAACTTGGGCTGTGCGAGCAACTTGACAGATATTATATCGTATGGTCAACAAAACGAGATAATTATTGTTAACAACTTTTGTATGACTCGGTGACAGTTATTACAATCTGTCCTTATCTGTCATATGGTATAATGTCAGCAGTCTCTTTCAGATTTGTTTACACTTTTTATCTCGTCTGGTTGGCCTTACTTTACAAATGTCTTTTATACCGACTACTCAATCGACAAGAACCAAGCTCTTAAATATGGAAAATCAAAAAATGCCATCTCATTAATCAAAATCCCTATAACCAAACCATAGCACGGATGACCATAGATTACCAAAACGGTCTATGTAAGTAGATAAGTAGTTTTTTTTTAAACTTGCAAAATTTTCCACCGCAGGCAGGATTTGAACCTGCGACCGTCGGCACCTGTACTGCAAAAACTATCCCGGTAGATGGAGCCCATCCACGCGTTAATGGACAAGATATACTTGCTTAATTCGCAGGCTCGATTAGAACCGCGGTAGCCCAGTTAGTAGTGTCGTCGGCAGTACAGATGCCGAAGTTCGCAGGTTCAAATCCTGCCTGCGGTGGAAATTTTGCAAGTTTTCCAAAAATTGTATGTCTATTACGAGAAGTGGTTTAAAAATTTGATATTCTAAGTATATAGTACCAGCACGGGCAAAAACAGAATAGAAAAGTCTTGTAGTTTCTATGCCGCCTGTCTGAATGAGCTACACTCATTCATTCTATTCAAACCATTCATTTCATACACAACGACGTTCCTTTTTCCCACTGCACCAACCATAGCCCTTCTAACGAATAGTGTAAACTTGTAGTAGGAACAAAGGAAAATTGTTAATAAGCAACCTTACCGAGCCGGCCCTAATTAGAACGTACGAATGGTAAATCGGAACGCGGCTCCTTCACAACATCGTTTAGGCACCTACTTATTTGGTGCAATAGAGACTAAAATGTACCTTAGAAATAAAAACTGCGATATGAAACTTATGCATGCACAGCAAAAATACTTGACCGAACCAAGCATTGTCCAAAAGTGCCCAAAAAGATGGATTAGGGATGACAAAAATGTTAGGCTCTGTCCGCACAGCGCAGTTTTCACTCGCGATATTTTATTTTGTATGAAAAATCAAGCAATATTTTGTCCGTCACTGGGGAAACTTGCATAAGATTCAGTGTGTTACAAAAGATCGCGCGAAATAAAGTCGTAAAAGCATGTAAGGGAAAGATCGTATCAAACGCATCAAACGTCATGATCGCCTTAAAAGATTTTGACTTTATTTACTGCAAATGTATATTAATTGAACCATTGATTTTATTTTCAATTTAATTTAATTCAGCCTCCGATCACCGATTGGCCCGTAAGCAATTAATTGAGTTAATCGAGTCTGATTTATTTGAGCTCATAATGGCGCAGAAAGGGTTCTAACTAATTAATTAATTAACTGTGTAATCGTAACGACCTGTGTCTCTGTCAACCGAGACCCTGCCTCCCTGTCTGTCTTAATGGCGTGGTTTTTTGGATAAATTGGACCATTTCGATTAGAGTAGTCAAATTAGGAAGTAGATCCAGCTATATTTATGTAAACCTACTAGGTATCTGTTTATAATCCGCCAATTCGAATTTATCAAATTTTAATTTAGTCAGTGTTGTTACTCGCGCTGGTGAGATGTGAATCTAACGTCACCTCACCATGTCAAGATCCGGCTAGCAGTTTGAGCTGTAGGTATCTATCACCGACTAGATGGACAGATCTAATAAAGTCTGTTACTGAGCACGAATGTTCGCGCGAAGTCTCGAGTAGAGCAAAATGGAGACGCATCGTGATGAAATCCACGCAAGATACGACCAATTCCTGACCACGACCACTCTGTCAAGAGTGAACGACTGAGAAGAAGAAGATCCCGTGAAAAAGAATTTCTTATCCACATACATACATACCTACCTACCTACATACAGTCCCACTTACATACATACATACCTACTCTCGAAAAACATAACCGTCTTTCTGAGGCAGTCGGGTAAAAAGTCCTTTCCTACCATTCCTGTCATTCTTGCTTGTACCTATTTTGGAAGTGACGCACCAGTCTAGTATGTGTGTCAGTAGCTTATCTCAGAGCCATTAACATATCGCAAACTTTACGATGTACGTCGTCTGGTTTCACTTTTTCAACGGTATTTCGTAACCGGTTCCCTATCTCACCTAGAAAGGGTCGGAATGAGCCTGCTCATGCCTAGTTATGTCAATAACTTTAAATGGTTTATAAAAAGTTAGAAATGCTGGCAGTAGTCTGCGCACAACCTCTTTGTTTATCAGTAGCAAAACGCCAGTGACGCCACTATTGGGAGCAACTACGGTGCGGGCCGATACTTCACTATATAGCTCGCTTCTAATACACACATGACAAAATGCGCGAATTTTTTTTGATATACAGGGTGTCTGACGAATCTATGTAGGCATTTTAAGGGATGATGATTGGTTGGGTTGTTCTGAATTGATTGAACTAAATTTAGAGTACTAACTCGCCCAGTTTACGTCTAAACTTTGACCAATCTACCAAACCTAAAAAGCTTTCAAAAAGGAATTTGGTGTTCTACTACAGGCAAATCGAAAAGATCACAGATCTTTGACATCCCTCAAAATAATCCCCTTCAAATCCAAATGAACTTGCAACTGAGTGAAAGACTAATCTAAGGGACCAACTTATACTGGTTTGTCATACAAATACTACCAATAACCAGTTTAAGTTGATCCCCTTATATGGGTAAGTAGATTTGCTGGCGATAGTTCCTACATACGTCGTCGTTCATTAATTTACCATGAATTAGTGAACTTCTAACGATGCTTTGGTAGATGTGCCTTACCTGAAGACAAAAAAAAAATACATTGTTAATTACATAAAATAAGAAAATTAACATTTATGAAAGCAAACGAATGTAGTAACTGAAAATAAGAAATTGCAATAATTGTCATGCTTCGATCGAGGCTCGAACCTGGGCCGCATGTGTAAACGCCCCCTCGCTCTGCCACTGAGCTATCGGTGCTCTGTTAGGTTCGAGCCTTGGTCGATGCATGACAATTTTTTTCATTTCTGAGGATAATATACAGTGCATTAAAATTTCAATTGAATACAACATCTAGTTAAGGTAGAGCAAAAAGTTTTTCCCGACTACCTCAGAAGGGTAATGCTTTAACACAAAAGGATACACAATCCCTCAGGGCCTCAACGTCTACTAGAGAGATGTAAAGGTATGTCATTATGAGAACAAACAGCGTTCTCGGTTCTCGCTAGATCCATTCTTTTCTTAGCTATCCCCAGGGTAGGGGTTGCATGTGCAACAACTACCTTTCAGTCTAGTAGAGCACTTTTCTTTGAAATAATATGATTATTTATATCAAAAAATATTTTATCAAGAGGCAATATATTTTTTAAAGATTTTCCGCGCAAGTCATTCGCAGAGTAGGTACCTATCTGCAACCGCAGTCATATTTTATGTGCAATAATTATAACATAGGTGTTAGTTATAATAGAGCTTTTTATTGGTTGTATCATATGTATTGATATACATACAGAACCTATGTATCAAATACGATACCTATTATAATTTTTCAACTTATGTTTGAGTATTATCTACATCAAACATTTTGAGCATAAGTTAGATAGATAGATAGATAAACACTTTATTGCTTACATTACGATAAAAACATTAAACAACAAACATAAATCTTAAAGCTAAAGTAAGCAAAGGCGGCCTTATCGCTTGCAGCGATCTCTTCCAGGCAACCTTTACCTTGAAAGAGACAGTAGATACAAATTTGCAAGTAGTTGCAGAAGCAATATAAGTTAAAAACCTCAAATTCAGCAATTAAACCTAAATAAACTAAATCAAAAATAAAAATACCTACACTAACTATACACAACACAGGTAGATCTACGACCTTGGTTCACCCCATGAAGGAACGCAGTATAGGTAAGTACCTACTTTAACATCCTGTTCCCTATTTATGATCAAGACCCCTTTGGGTAATGTGTTTGTTCGGTGATCCCATCACTTATCGGTCGTCTTACTTTGAACCAACATTACTTGCTACCTTGCCTTGGGTAAGGTGTTATCTATTAGGTGCAAACTCCACAGAGTGGAGACGTAGACGTGAAACGTGCGATATCGTGACGCTTAAAACCGTTTCCATAAAAAAAATATGAAACAGAAGAGACAAAGCTACACACGTGAGACGCGCGCGGCATCAATGACGGCTGACAATTTTTGTCATCTAACGTCTTACGTGTGGAGCTTGCGCCTAAAGTAGCTAATTTAGCTGTACATTTACCTACGTCGCTGCCGTTATCATCGTTAAAATAGCATTACCCCAATTCTACCGATGTATTGTATAGGTGTCGTAATAAACGACTGTGGTATAATTAGCCAGGGAATGGGTTGCAGTGTTCCCTGTGAGGTAAGACTACTCGCCAGCCCACGCAATGTGTGGTCAGTATGGCAATACCCCTAAAAAAGGGGTAGGCTCATGTACGAAGACTTCAAAAATTGTTCTGGAAATATCTAGATTCTATGAGATACCTCATTTTATGTCTCTTAACACTGATTGTTTTTCTTCTCTTTAATTAATAAGTTGGTACTTAATACAAGAACTTCTAGATCTAAAACTATCATTAAACTCTAACAGAACTAAACCAAAGATTAATTTGTACTAACTACGTCTAGAAGTTTCTCTGTGGATTAGATTTGGTATACAGGATGTATATGAGTCAAATTTTGGACCTCCCATACAAAAAGTACCAGCCGCCGACCGGGTCAATATACAGGGGGACATGACAATATACATGTACCATCTTTTAGTAAAAAATTGGACACTCCATACAAAATGCTCCATCAGGTTAACATTATAAGTATGGGAGTTAATTTGTTATTTTCAGTGTAAAAAATAGTATTCTAGATTGGTAGCTAAGGATGTCCAGAATTTAGATTTTTCTGGACCACATAAATAAAAAAACACCCTGTATAAAACATTTGTAGCTTATTAAAGCTGATTGAGAGCTAAGTTTATTACTAAACCACATTTTTGCTACTTGTTTTCACTCTCATTGAAAAGATTCTCACGATAAAAAGTAGGTTACTATGAGTAAAGTTATGGTGGTGGGAAAATTATTGGATAGGAAGATTTATAAACTATTATACGTATAGGTATTGGTACCTATGTGAATGGGAATTAATTAACAGGTGATAGCAACATAAGAGTAGATATCTTGTAAACAAAGAAACTGTGATCTAAACAAGCAAGAAAAGAAACAAAACGAAAAACAAAGGTAAACTAATTGATGATGGATGACATTAATTGCTGAAAAAGTCGGTTGCTAGTATACGTTTTAAGAGTAGTGGAGATAGTGCAGAACTTGTCAATGTATGATCTTAAAGTACCTAAGTATAATCTAATCATGCTACCGCTAAGCGCATAAACCAAGGTGTCGTAACAGGAGGCGACACACTTTGTCGAGACGTGTACTAGGAAGTGATTTACCGCGTTCATTATACTTGGCTGCTTTATTGCACAGC